CAGTCTGCAATAGCAACATTCTAAGTGAACAACCATGTTCTTTACAACTGGAAAGAGCAAAACTGCATCCAGTCGTCCCTTGGCCACACTCTTAAACTTCTGCTAGTCCCTTGCAAGCCTGTGCTAACCTGTCCTAGAACCCCCTAACAATTCAAATGCCTTGTCGGTGTCCTTTGGCGAGTTTCATGAATATTGTATCCCGTTCTCTTGTCTGTTGGGTTACTTTAGGTCAGGTGATTTGGCAGGAAACTTGCTGAAAGTTTGTGTCTCCTGGTCTGAATATTTTGAAAGGTCACTGAGATCAGTCTTTAAATCTTTGCATCTCATGGAAGATCTTCAAGACCTCAGAAATGGGCTTGTTGAGTCCCGAAAGTGTATCTCTTGTGTCTTGTTCGTGAAATGCTTCCTGCTATAGAAATAGCTCAAAGGACTGTACATATTTACAAGAAACTTTATATTCGTAACAAAAGGGAATTGAATTGGTTTCTACTTTTTTATTGTAAACTGTGCGTTTTTCAACACTGGCTTTTTGTTTTGATGGTGGTTGTGGACAGCCATCTTCAGACACTGGAAGGGCCTCAGCTTAGTCCTCCTCGCTCCCATGAAGAAATATTGTAACATTAAATTGCAATTGAAGCTTGTTAGCATAAATGAGGTTTTAGGTCTCTAAAGTACAGGATTTTTCCTTCATCACCTTTTTATTATTGACAAGGGAGGGAACCAGAGGGACAGTTCAAAGCTCCACCTGGAAAGTATTGAACTTTGTTGTTGAACAATAACCAAATAAAACAAATAACTATCTCGACTGGCATGGTGAAATGAACGCTTCCTTCTATTTAGAGTAACACTCAGCCGTCCTACCCTGCGCCCAGCATTAGTGGCTGTGTAAGCCAGAGGTGTCAGAGCTTACCAAAGAGCTCACCTGGACAATATTTAGCTTTTAATAGTCGTTATTCCCTGAACAAGAAATGCGAAGTGGCTTCACAGACAACAAAGCATGTTCATATAAACCAAAAGAGGTGGATTTGTCCAAATCCTTTACTAGAGCAGCAGGTGGCTGCCAACACCCACGGCTAAATTCCGCCCTCAGCTACTCACCTCGTACTATGGGTAGAGGTGAGACCTGTGAGGAGCCAGGAAACCAATCTCGCCCTGGTAAGTGACCCACCCAGCTGGAGCTGGAAAAAAACCCCAAACATCTTAATTAACAATAGTGTGAGCTAATGACAGGTTCGGGGTTTATCCCAGCAGTGTACTGGTAGCAAAGCAGACAGAGAGAGTTACTCATCCCATCACTGTAATATGCTGGTGCTTTAAGGCCTAATAGCTGCAACTTTTTTTAAAAAAAAAAATATTCACAAATCAAGTTGGATTGAGTACAACCTGCAGAGTTATTGTACGTCTTAACTTACACCTGCTGGGAAAACTTGCTAGATCAGACTTAAATGTAAATACATCTATTTTTAACTGAACCAGTTTTTACAGGGTCTGAAGTATTCTTTCACAGGAAGAGGTTTTTAATATTCACACTGCTGCCTACAGTAACTTAATTTGTCCTCCTACTGTTCAGTGTTTTCGGTTCTGTGCACATACCCGCCCCCTCACTCCCAATAAAGGGCTTGTTGGAGGCTGTGGGGGTGGGTTACTAATAGCTCCTCTTACATTTTGGTCTACATGACATTCTTCATGAAAATGCTCTACATAAAACCTGAGCTGCTTGATTTATCTATTGTGCCTACTAGCCGATGTATATGATGAATTGCTAACTTGTTCAATGTTCCTTTATTTCTATTTTACTGTGCACAAAGAATACTTATTTAAAGCTCATTGTTGCAGTCCTATGATGCATGAATTGTAACACAACTAAAATAATCCAGAAACTGGTGAGTAAAAAAAAATAATTATTTATTGAGCCTTTTGATCACCAAGAACCCTGCACAAATCCACTGTCAGCTTGACCAGTCCGTGCTGGGTCGGATTTTAAGGGGTTGGGAGGGCAGGGAGCTCTTGGTATTTCACAGAATACAAGAGTCCCCAAAACGACTATAACGAGTCTCTGCACCTACCTTAAAAAAATACGCTCTCCTAGCAACAGCCAAGAATAAACATAACAGCACAGACTGTGAGATGTGGGTGGGGAATGTAAGCGAGCTAATAAATCCAACTCTTGATCCAGCTTTTGCCTTTGGAGGGATTTGATTCATCCCGTTACAGTAAGGGAACGCAGTATGATTAATTCATTCACCTGTCAAGCAGAGAACAACCTAGCAAAAAAAAAAAAAAGATAAAAAGACCTCCCCAACTGCCCCCTGCAAACTCACAAGCCTACCTTTCTTTCCATCAGCCCCTGCTGCAGAGAAGGGGGTCTAGGGGTGGTGAGGAGCAGCCATGGCTTACCTGGAGGAAGTTTGAGGCTCCTGGGAGTCGCTCCTGGAGGCCGCGCACAGGGACCACCAGCCTCGGTGGCTGCTCTGACCCTCTGGGACAGGCCCTGGGGCAGCTGCTCAGCCCAAGGCGCAGCAAAAGCTGGAGGTGATCAGTGCTGATCAGCTAATTAGTCGGGCAAGCCCTCAGGTGCTGTGCTGGCACAAAGCCTGGGCCCCTCACCCTGGTTTCTCAGGAAAAGGAAAGGTGTGGGTTTTTTTGGCAAATAAAGAGGGTGAGGGGGAGCTGCAAAAGCTAATGGTGCAGTCCTGGCTGCAGACCATGTACCAAGTGCTCTGCCCACTGAGACATGGCTAGAGGCTGCAAAAGTATATAATAAAAAAAAAAAAAATAAATAGAAAAGCTTTCAGATAATTGGTTCTGTCCTGCGGTTCCACCCTACCAGCACTGATGAAGAGCCTGGAGTGAGTGAGTAATGCATACATGTAACTGGAAAAAAAATCCACAAGGCTTAGCAAGAACTAATGAGACTGAGGCCATAAATCCTGTTGTCTTGTACACTTCAACCTTCCTTTCCATTTTTCCATATCTCAGTTTCGGCTTCTTTAGTCTTCGACTTCTTGTGAACAAATTTTTTGCAACTTCAAAAGAAAAGAACAAACCAAACTATGTCTAAGCTCCTCTTTTCTTCCAGCAAAAAAAAAATAATAAAAAAATCCCAAGTCATTCAAATAAGAACCTTGCAGTATCATTTCTCAGCTGGCACTAAAAGGATTTAGGAGGACTCACTGAATGACCACTGTCTGCCAGTACATGCTCACATCCTCTTTTCTTTGAACACAGCTGAAAAAATTCCTTCCAACTCTTGCTCCGCACAGCTGACACTTATCCTACCAAGGTCCACACAAATGCTTTTGCCTCATTTGCTTCTGCAGCTGGTAACCCTGATCCTGGAGCTTGTCAGCAACCAGACTCCTTCCTGTGAACTTTTACATCACAAACACACACTAACACCTTCCTCATCATCTTTAATGATTAACTGCAAGACAACAAAGTGTTTCAAGCTGCTGAATGAAAATCTTGTACAATCCAACCAAGACATAAAACAAGGTGCTGCAGTCAGGGAACCACAGTTTATTAAAAAAAACAAAACAAAACACCCAAACAACTCAAGGAAGCCGAGGTTACCAAAGATGGGAAGGATAATAACAAAGCCAGTCACCCCCTTTTCTTGGAAATGTTTTATTTGTTTCTGAAGACACTGAAAACAAAAGCAATTCCGTATTTCAGAATACCAACTACTACTCATAGCACAGAATGAAGAAAGAGTTTTCAGCGAAAACCATTGCACTAGACCCAGATCTACTCAGCTACTCAGAATATTGCAACAAGGCTGGTGAAGAGATCCGAGGATGGCAAACCACCCTGCCACTGTGGCTGCTTCCACCGCGCGCTGGCTGCTGCCCCCCACTCGGACTCCGTCCTGATGGCGCAACCTGCTCCTACCCACAGCCGGACGGGGGCTGGTTCTCATTGGCACAGTCACTGGCACTCCCAGGTACCAAAAAACAAAGTGAGGGAAGGACCCAGCAGGTCACCTCCCGCACTGGTTCCAGCAGGGCAGACCCGAGGCACGCCGGCGGGCAGTTTTGCATTAACGTTGCATGTTTTTGGGATAAAACAGGCTGCGAGGACCAAGTACAGGCAACCTGGCACTACTATCATCACTTACAAAATACAGAGTAAAAAAAAAAGTTGCAGAGATCCCCACAGCCCGGGCTGCAGAAGCGCCAGGGATCCACAGTTAACGCTGCACCTGGAGGACAGGCCCAGCTCCAGCCGTGGGCCCAGGGGGGCGCGGCGCTGCCACCGCTCACACCAGGGGGCAAGTTTGGCCACTGGGTACAGGCGACTTCCAGTCACCTTCAGGCTGCTCCCGACCAACTACTGCCTTAACCGAATCCATCGATTCACTTAGAGCAACTTACTCCAGCTTCAGGAAGTCTTTATCAGTGACAGCAAGAGAAACTGGTTTCAAAAAGCAGATTACTGCAAGACACATTTATGATTTACAGAAAAATTCAGCCATTAAAAACAACTGTCTTTACCAGAAATTCCACAGGGGAAAAGTTGTATTTCAGTTCTCATGAAGAGAAAAAAAAACTATAGAGCTATCCACAGCAGAAACAGTGCACTCCCGTCTACTGCCCAGTAAAAAACGAGCTTGTTGGTGATTGTGTTGCTGATTTTGCCTAGGAAAGGCTGCTACAGAAAAAAATCATCAATATTCACACTTATTTCAGCCATGCAAGTTTGGAACTTGCCACTGAAATAACTGCATGCCTGATGAGTAATGAAAGCAGTAATGGGCTTGTGTTTGCTGAGTATTGAGCTCAATAAGATTCCACAAGAATCCTGAACTTTCTAGACTTTGGGCTGGCTTGTTTATTACTTGCAGACTACCTTACTGCTAAAGGGCTTTAATCTGCTGCTGCCCTCACATTTTTCACCCGAATTAAATTGGTAGTTTTTTTTAAACTTAGCTGACAATGGGCACTGACACTTTGCCTAGTCGCCGTGAAGCTGCCATCTCCAAGAACTTCCAAGGTGGGAACCAGGAAAATAAGGCAAATACAGGAGAACTTGGAAGTCTCAGAAACAAATTGAAATCAGAGTTCATTTGCTACAGCACAGAGCAAGAAAACATTTGGTTAAGAGAAGAATATTTTTTTTTCTGAGACTGCACTGGCCCAGAACAATTGGTCACGAATTACTATGATGTTCATATTGGCTTGTACAGCAAAGTAGTCACGTACTTCTTCTTGTAACGATGTGTAGCACTAAGCACCATCACTCCATCCTACAGGAGATGGAAAACAAGTGAGCACGTTACACGGTTATCTAAAGGCTACAAGCGTGAAAAACATGTCCTGACCTCTCACCTTGATAGAAAGTGCGTAGAGGTGGTTCAACATGACGTGGTTGGGTTCAGGGAGTAGAGCAGGATCGCACTGGAAAAAAAAAGAAAAGTGAGACAGTGTGAAAAGAACAGAACTCACAGTTTAGTCGTCACAGCCGATGGGTGATAAACCAGCCACACTCTCAAGTACATCACGATGTTTCCTTCGCTGAGCCCATTAACAAATGCAGGCAATGTTTCAGAACAATCCAATTTCCCCCCAGGGTGAAACCTTCTCCAGCCTCACCACAGCCGTGAAACAGACCTCAGTCATTTCTTACGTGCTTCTGACATTTCAATAGTGTTGCAGTGGGACGATGGGCGTTTTGGGGAGTAAAAAAAGCAACCTAGTTTTCTTCTCAATTTTGAAGAGTCAAGCAGACAAATTTCCTTCAGATGGATCCATCTGGACACATGCAATAAGGAATTTACCAGTGTGGCAACTGTTCTAAGGTTTTCCCTTGCCTTTTCCCTGTCTGTACCCAGAGTTCTGCCCCATCTGTTCACAACCTCAAGGCCATCATTCAGCAAAACAAACTAATGTACTCACAGAAATGCCTGTGTCCTTATTCAGGATAACCTGCAACAGGTGGGGAGGAAGAATAGGTGGCGATTTAAAGCGCTCCTCTGCCTTACAAACGTAGGGCTCCTGGTGGTACGGTCCAGGTGGTGAACTTGACAACTCTGCCAGAGAGATATTAAATATTTTCTTAAATAATCTGTAAGAATATCTGCTCTTTACAGGTACATTTTTACCGGTACTCCAAATTGCTTTTCACATCCAGAAGCATGCAGCCAGAAGAAATCATGTAAGTACAAGAACTGCAGTGGCCAAGGCAGGGCCAGAGGATCAGTCACTGCCCAAGAAGTGATTTGGGACGTCCAAAGCCTGTCTGACCCAGAACTAGCTGTGAGGATGCAGGAGGCAGAGTTCTGAGGGTTCCTCCACACTTCAGAACCTCCCTTGTCATCTCTGCCCACCTCTTCTCCAGCAAACACTTAATAGCAAACGTGGCTCTACAATGTTACCTCCAAGGGACGCACTAAAACACGCAGCTAAAAGGCAGGTATTATTCCCGGGCAGTGCTAAGGTAACAGAAAGGGCTCTTCAGAGTCTTCAACATACTGAAAGGTAAGGGGGAGCATGTGAAAGCACGTGAGGGGGAATCCAAGTCTCACAGATGACACCCTCTCTCCAAAAAGGCCTTCTCCAGGGGAAAGCTGCATAGAGCAAAAAACAACCGACCACGCTGTCTGGCTCAGATTCACAGGCCAGGTCTTCCGGAGGAGGACCTAAGGTTTTGACCTAACTGTTTCGACCCTACAAAGGTCTGTAAGACAAGTGGCAAGGCTGCCCTCAGAGATGACTCAAGCTAAATCTTACCTCTCTCCTGTTACACTAGAATATGAATCTTAAGGCAAAAATAAACTTTTAAATAATTCTAAGAGAGAGATAATTTATAGTAAACTGAGAGGCAATGACATATTCCTGAGCCAGCGTTAGCACAGCTGAGATGCATCTGATTTCTACCTCTTCATGCGCAACTTCTGACCTCGACGCACCTCCTCAGCAGAGCAAGGAGCGGCGTGGGCTGTCAGCACTGGTTCGATGTCGTGAGGTGGGGACTGGCACGCCAAGACCAGCCATTGCCAGTCGCACACACAGCTACTGAGCACCCAGGGCTTCCTCCTGATCAGACCTACAGGGACCCGTGTGACTCTGTCAGGGGCTTCCTCTTCTATGGATTGCACATTCTTCCTTTGCACATCTGTGACTCCTGCACACGCCCACAGGGCCTGACAGAAGTGAAAATTAACCTACACTAGAGCTTCAACTCCAGATGAAAAGGAAGATGGAATTTTTAACAGCTCTGCAAAGTGTGATATAAAAATACCAGTAAGCTCATACCAGACATGTCTGAACATTTCTGGGAGTCCACCATCAAAGCATCGAATACTTCAAAGTCTGTTTTCTTCACCTGTATGATGTTGTTGACAGTCCCTAACTGGCTGGTTACAACTGGCTGGCAAGAAACAAGATACAAAAGTCAGAATGAAAAAACCTTGAATGACTATTACATTCTCAGAACTGCACAATCAGTATTACCAAGAGTGAGATATATTGCTTTTAAAATATGCAAGTACTGGATATGAAAAGAGCTCACCCTGCTCAGCTGGTGTTAGGTTAAGAGCAAGTGCAGGACGTGGGACTGACAGGGCTGCCCAAGAGTTAACGCATTGGGTCCGCAGCACTCGATAAATCCGTGAGCCAGGTAAGGCCAGGAGCAGGTTTGGGATAAAGGAGCTAAGCTCTTCCTTGAGCTTCTCCAGGGCCTTCAGAGCCCGGCCAAGCTCTGCACGGCCTGATGCAGGACGGAGCGGTCGGTATTGCTGATTTGCCACGAAAGCCGAGACTGGAGTCCAAGGCAGAGGGTTCAAAGAGCCTGTCCTGGCTGAAGAGCACCAGGATGAAAGTTCTCTGAGCCCTGGCACAGGGGCAATCACAACAGGGAGAGCAGGGGCAGCTGTGCCCAAGGGGAGGAGATGGCTCAGGTGATCCAAATGTTCCTTCCCACGTGCTCAGTATATAAGGGCCCCTAGTGCTGCTGCCTGTTCCTTCTCTCCCTGGGCTGCTGCTGTTCCTGTCTCCTCACGGTGCAGAGGAGCACCGCTCAACAGAACAGGTCGTCTTCCCCTACGTCCCTGGGAGCAGCACAGCTTCTTTTCAGTTTTTTTGAGTATCATCGGGACTCCGCGCTCACACCTTTCCATCTGCTGCCCAGTCTAGTCTGGGGCTTCTTTCTTTTTCTTGCTCGGGACCTTGTTGTCATCCAGAAGCTGTGGGTCTCGTATTAACATACTCTCTTGTATCTTTGAGCGTATTTGCATACTTGCATGTATCTATATATAGTTTGACATCTTCATAGTTGTTTTTTTTTTTTTTTTATCAACCTCAAAGCCTCTCTCCCTGGTTCCCGTTACCCTCCCCTGGGAGGGTGGTGGTGGGATCACAGAGAGCATCTGTCAAAGCCTAGTGGCTGGCCTAGCCCTAAACTTCACAGAGCTAAATTTAGGTAAATTCTGCAAGATTGCTCCCAAGCCAATAAGAAGACTGGAACCAGGAGATATGAAAAACTAGTTTAAATGCAGGCAGGGACTGCTGCATAGGCTAGGGTTAAAGCTCATTTTACAGCAGAGGAGGAAGAAAAGGCCTGGTAGATTCTGGCACTATTACTGGACTATGAAAAGACCTTCAGGTGCCCCAATGAATAAACAGCGACTTGAAGAAAACGTTACCTCTGAAGGATCGTGTGTCCACTGCCCATCCACAAAGAACTTGTATTGGTGCTCTCCTTCTGGCAGGTCCAAGATTGCCACAAAGTTATTGTGACTGGAATTTAAGATAAACAATCAGCCCTGAAATATTCTGAAAAGGAGATCAATCTATAAACTGTGGCAAGCACTGTAACAGAGAATACAAGCCTCCTTAACATGCAAAAACCTAAAAAAAAAGGAAGTGCCACATTTAATCTTTAGACTGCATGAAATTCTCTTAAGACTCAAACCAAGGTTAATGTTAATGATAATTTCCTCTGAGACAGCAAGTCACTACAGATCAAAATTAGTATCTGTGCTCCCGGCATAAAGGAATTAGCATCGAGCTTTTGTAAAGTCACCCTCACATCTTCACATTACTTGTTAGTATGCCAGAACTCATTTTATCTGCCAGACTCCCGCTGATGGAACAAGATCAGCTTACTCCTGTCTCCCTGCCTTTCAGTATTATGCCCTCATAAATTGCATTTCACAAACGCCTCGGAAACCAATGCACAATGACTGGAAGATGAAAGCTGCAACTCAATACTTCTGAATTACTTTGCGTCTGAATAGCTGCTGCTTGATCATTTTGCTACTCCTGTGCTGCGGACTTCCCGATTCTTTGCAAGTCTCTACCACCATCTCAATGAAGCTGAGAAACAGCTGATGCTACATGAACAATTCAAAGAGGCCACGTGATGCCAGTATCTCTTTACTTCTTATCAGGTGAGGAGCGCAAGCATACTGTCACAGAGCTGCACTGCAAAATTCAGTTTGGCATAATGAACTTTTCTATTTGAGTATATCTGATAAAGTAAGGGGATTTTATCCTGCCTCTAAGGAGGTCCAAATATCTCCTTTCTGAGAATACCTAATGTGAAAAGAGACAAACCTTTTTGTTTTTTGTAGAGACATTTTTGCCCTTCCAGATTCACTCAATTTCTCATCTCCCAGGCCTTTTACCCAAGAGTGATGTTCCACCAGCCTTTTTTCCAGCCCAGCTTGGCAATTTACCTTGCATTGTTCATGCACAGAACAATCCTCCCACATCACTTCATCAGGTCACTGTGCTCCTCAAGTTTCCTAAGAACTTAAGATACTTCTGCAACAATACCAATGCAGGTAGCCATTCGCCGAGATAAGAAACAGCAGAAACTGGCAGGAGACCAACCTTTCTGGGATATGTCATCATTAACAGACAACAGGGCTGTTGCTCAGTTCAGACTCTCCGCCATTCACTAAGTTTTACGTTTTTGAAAAACACATGGGTTTACACAGAATGCTTACTCAGGTACAGCGTTAAGCAGAGCTACAGAGCTGTCTAGCAGCAAAAAGGATACCTTAACAGGGTACCTTAACAGGGATTTATTCTCGTGCTCATTTGGTTTACCAGGACGCATCCCAGGCTCAGAGCTCCCTAAGCAGAATTCGGACCCTCTGCACTGAGCAAAAGCCAACGACGCAGCAAGAAAGCCCAAGTGCCATCAGAGCTACGCTTAAACCAACGTCACCTTACAGACGCTAGCTCTGCCCCAGGTAGCAGACTCTGCCCCAGGACTGGTTTGGGTCATTCGTGAGTGGTGCTCAGTGAACAAATCACTCCTTCAAAACTACACACAGCTCAGCTCTCGTCCTGCGCCAACCAAGAATCAAGAAGTCAGATCCTCATCAAGGGCTTGAGGAGAGCAGCAGGACAGTGGTAAACCCTCGCCACAATACCCATCTATCAACCGCCCGCCTCTCCCACAGGCACTCCCAGCCCGGGGGGAAACATCACCGATACAGCAGCAGCGGTTGTTACCTCCTTGTCAGGGGAATTTTACTCCAGTTATTGAAGGACCCAGATAAATAAACTTCTTTCCCTCCTCCAGTCCAGCGAAAGACTGTTGGTCGAGCTTGAGTGGGGGTTTTGTCATTCACTTCCAGATCTTGTTGCCAGGCTAGGAATTCTTCTTTCTCCAAGGGAGCCTACAAGCACAATGTTTTAATCAAAAGGAATTCTTTCCTGGGAGACCCAGACATCATATTTTATTGAAGGCACTTTTGCACCCAGACACAATTCTCTAAGGAACAAGTCTACAAGTAGTTTTTGTCAGATGATAGAGATTAGAATTAAGAGTGCATTTCTAGGCACCCAAGTTTATTTGCACACCAAGTTCATTTGCACAAACTTTGCAAAGACGATAAAGCCTTCCACATTTGCAGAAAGAGTGGAAGGCAAAATAATCCCCCTCCCTCCAGAATAAATTAGGTTAAAAAGAAATGACCTGAGCTCATAAAGTTTCCAAAATACACAGATATAAGAAGAGCAAGAAAAATAATTAAGAAGGAATACACTTACGAAATATTTAGATCATACAAATATCATAGGCACAAAACGTGTAGCTAGCAGAAAGATTATGCGTTATCTATCAGAAACAGCTCTACTCGAGTCAAAGATTTAAGTGTAGTTTTCTGTTAGATATTCTTATGAAACACAATACACAGCAAGTCATTTCTTTCAGTTCATCTAATGATGAGCAAAAAACCCCAGTTAGTCGTTCTTTTAACATGAAAAATAATGACAGGTAAAACATCACAGGTGACTGCAAAGCATTAAGGATCTGAAGGAAGCTGGGACAGTGTTGAGCCAGTTACATTTTGGTTTTTCCACCACTAATTCTTGGTAGAAACCGTCATATCACACTCGTTATATCTGACTGCACAATGCACAATTGCATTGTAAATGCCATGAGAGAATTACTGAAGGTTGCTAACAGCACCACCGCTGGACAGCACTCCCGAGCTGGTAGCGTCAGATGACAAGAACAACCCTGCAGCACCTTCATTTCCTCTGGATGGAACAAGTCTGCATCTTCAGGACTGTCCATTAAGATTTTTGGTCTATCACCCTCTTTCGTGCTGATGGCTCCTCCTGAGCTGTCACCTCGGGATGCTTTATGCCCATGACGCTCCAGTCCAGCTCGCTCACTACTTGTATTCCCCATTTTTAAGAACCTGAAAAGGCAGAAAAAGCCAGATTAGCACATGCACTTGTGAAAGCAGAACACCAGGAGGCAGGAAAGCTGGCTCATCACCAGACCTGGGCTCTGTTTCTGAGTTGAAGAGCCTAGGAAACTCCATTAACCCAAGACACTAGCAGCTCAAAACATTACGCTCAGAACAAAGACCAGAGCAGCGACTTCGAGGTGGCCAAGGGGGCCCCGTGGAACCACCCAAACACACAGAAAACTCCACAAAGAGCGCCCAGCAGGGCACGAGTGTGGTACAGGACAGCTGTCGCCTCGTTCCCTGCAAGGTCCAACTACGGCCGCTGCTCAGCT